ATTCCCCTGAATGTCTTTTAGATTCTAACACACAGAGACCATCACCACAGCTCAGAAGAGAAACTTGTGTTGTGTAGATGCAGCAGAGTCTGTTTCCATGGTGACACGACGCTGTCTTCTACCTTTATGACACAAACCATTTTTATTCAAGTCTTCACATTTAATATCTTCACATCAGCAAATTATATTTTGAAAAGGTCACAGATTCTCAGGAGGCAGCAAGATGACAGTTCCCCCAGGGGAATTCTGGGATATCAGAGTCCATCCCTTTGTACTGTGATGGAGGACAGAGCCGGGGAATGTCTCTTGCATTCCTGCTTGAACTTGTTGAACCGTTTTTCACTTTTAATTACACTGACAATGTTGCAGCTTTGAAAACTCACATGAAAAACTAGAGAACTCGAAATCTGAATCAGCCATAATCTTCGATTCATCAACTTTAGAAGTTTATTATTATTATTATTATTATTTTGTATAAGGACCTCATCATAGAGAAGAATCAGCAGATCAAGTCATAAATCTCCGGTCAGACGCTGAATGGTGACATGATGAACTGATTCGTTTCTCCCTCTGAAAACAATCCAAAACTATTTTACTCCCAAAATACCCACATGTACACACACCCACATAATATATAGATTTTACATAAACACAGGTTGTGTGATGCAGGACCTTCTAAAGTGTAGAATACAGCTGGTGCGTGACCTGTAAAATTTCCACAGCCATGTCGGCCAACATTAATTCAATTCAATTAAATTTTATTTGTATAGCGCCAAATCATAATATACATTATCTAAAGACACTTTACATAGAAGGTCCGGACCTTAAAATCAAAATATAAAGAAACCCAACAGTTCCCACAATGAGCAGCACTTTGAGAGTGTGGAGAGGAAAAACTCCCTCATTACTAACTGGTCTCAGGTGTCCAGGTAAACAGTTGGTCAACTTTACCCAGCATCCTTCACTCCGGTCCAGTTAACTGAGCTTCTACCCGTTCAAACAATGAAAATGATGAAACTTCTAATGTTACCTCGTCGGTGTGTGTGATAATTTCCTTTCCACAGCGAGTCATCACTGCCTCCTTTTCTCCGGCTCACATTCACATGCAGAGATTCATGAACAATGGCCGACCCCAGCGGCCATGAATCTAAATGAGGGAGGAGGTCGTTGTTCTGACGCTGACTGCTTCTTCTTCTGGTGTTTATTAGAGTTGGTGGTGATGATGATGATGATGATGATGATGATGATGATGCTTCTTCTTCTGGTGTTTTTTAGAGTTGGTGATGATGATGAAGATGATGATGATGATGATGATGATGATGCTTCTTCTCACTGTTGGTATTCAGAGGGTTTTCTCAGACATTCTTGCTTTCTGCATGTGCCGGACTCAGCGCTCCATCCTTCGACCCTCCTCTTGTACATTGTATAAGTGAAAGTGAAAAGCTAGCTCCTAATCTGCGGAACAATGGCCGACAGCAGCTCACTGCCAGCTGCAGCTGCTTTTCAACCATCAACTCTTCTTCTGAAGTGTTGACGGACTCATGCCACCATCAGTCTATTGTCTGCCCTCGTCTGAAAGAACAACTAAAGTGTCATTTGTTGCGTCCTCTGGGTGGAGGGCATGGCGCTGGAGCCCTGCGGTGTGGATAAGGGGATTATGAGGGTTTAATTGAGTGTGCTAATTGATGGGACAGTGAATGGCTGTGAATGGAGCGGAGGGACAGATGTGAAGTGAAACCCCTGGTTCTTTCTAAAGAATACAAATCAGCAGCAGAGGGATCTATTCTCAGATCTCTATTCCACTCACTTATCCTTTCACAGAGCGACAGGAGGCTGAGCCAACAGATGGTTTCCACAGCGAGTCATCACTGCCTCCTTTTCTCCGGCTCACATTCACATGCAGAGATTCATGAACAATGGCCGACCCCAGCAGCCATGAATCCAAATGAGGGAGGAGGTCGTTGTTCTGACGCTGAAGGACAAAGAAAACTGTGGAGGGAACGTTTACCTGAAGAGGAAGAGGACAAAAAGTCGCCACATCGGGAGTTCAAGTAAAACATGATGACATCATCCTCTTCACATGTCCCATCAGCCTCTGCAGAGAGAAACAAGTTTTCTTCACTCGTGAGTTTGGCAGCATTTAACAACATTTCCCATGATCCTCTCCTCACTCACTCACTCTCAGACACACACAC